ATAAGTTAAAAATAATCTATATTTTTGGTCACATTCTTATAGTAAACAGTCGTTGCTATGGCCGTTGCCACGTGAAAAAACTTATACCACTGTGTACTTTCCTTAAATTTCACACTCATCTGGAAGGAATTCGGCAAGATCGTTTCAAAATGTTTTTGACAAGTCCTCAAGGGTCTTAAGTCTTGTATTTCCAAGAAATTGAATTTTTCATGAACATCGCCATATTTTAGGGTACCATACCCCCTTAACAGAGGCGTCCGCTGAATGCAGGTTTATTTTACAGTAAATGTGTGAAGAAAATTTAGGGACTCAAGCCGGTGTCCACATAATAGATTACTATTCAAAATCAAAAGCCGGTCACTCACCTTTCAAATGTACCACACAGTATCGTGCAAAGTGGAAATGGAGATGTATATAGCATTCACAAAACATATCAGTTTTAATTTTCTCCCGGAAGTTGAGCCAATAAAAGCTTCGAAAGAGCAAAGAGAAATCGCAGTTTACCATGCAAAAACCAAATATTTCAGGATTGCCTTAAGAAATACAAAAATAGTAAAAGAAATCGGTGGTCCGTTGACAATTGGTAATTGAATGATCGCTGTTTAGAGTTACGAAAAACCGTAAATTTTAAATGAATAACGCGCAATTATCGAATAACTAAAAGGAGCAAAATACTAACGCTAAAACTATTCAGCGCACGCACACCAAGATCTTAGGGAAAGAAATAATTTACGTACAGTACTTAGAAAATTGCAGCTAGCACAAGTCTGTTTGCGCGCGCCATACATACGATGACTTGGTGCAAAGTAAACATTTTCGCTGATTTAATTTTTTTTTTTAAACTATATTTAATATAAAAGCTAAAAGATACTTTTCGTGCCACTTTAGAACGTTGTGACAACGATAGTTATATTTTATATTTTCAATGAGCGTTATCTGGCGACCTTACCAATATTTACTATTCAGAATTTTTTTTTTTTAATGATGCCACTTCTGACCTATCAGAGAACCCTTAAAATCTTATCTCGCGCTCTCCAGCAAATCCATATGCTCTTCTACACTTACACAAAACGTCAAAACGTCACAACAAGTGGGCAAAAAATGACCCAGAAGAAACCATTAAAACACGATCTGTCAAAACCGCACAACTTTTTCTGTAAATGTGGACATCAATTTGATATGTTGACGCTATTTTGTGTCAACTTTGTAAAAACTACAATGTCTTCAATTCGGAGTCATTTGCTTCGCCCTCGCGAGGAAAGCATTCATTGCCCTTTCTAAAAAGATTTCGCAGCCCTTGGCGATATCTGTCATTTAGAAAGAGATAAACGCACGGGTTAAGTGATGCGTTGGCGTAAAATATAAACTTAGCTGCGAAGCTCAATTGGTCCATACCGCAAGGAATTTTCTTGTACCAAACGAAAAGAAATAGAAATCCTAGGATGTCTATAGGCAGTATGCAAATAACAAATAAAAATACGATTGCTAGAATTTTTCTGATTATTTTAGTGTTCTCTTTTTGTCGTATTTTCATCAGCGAGGAGGAAGAATTTCGCCAAAAGGACTTCTCCCTTCTCAAAGCCCTGAATATGAGTGAGTACAAAACGGTTATGATTGTCAAAGGGATGGCGATCAGAAACACTGAAAATATTGTGAACTGGATTCTCGAGGCACTCAGATGGTCGAATGCTGGCTCAAAGCTGAAGAAGCAAATATTGATTCCATTGACTCGCTGATGACGCGCCATGTAGAAATATATGCCGTGTAGACCCATTGATATTAGCCATATCAGTGCAATAACAAATTTGCGTCGTTTCGGAGTCACGATAGGTTCACGAAAGGGTTGAACAACTCCAGTGTACCTATCCAATGTGATAACAACGATGCTTTGTATCGAGACTGCAGTGGAGATGTCTTGGAAGAAGTAAACAACTTTGCAAAGGACTGCACCAGCTAGACCATCGATCAGCCATCCACGGAAACCGATAAAGATTTCCGTCATTTCTCGCGGTACTGCAAATGCAGAAATCAATAAATCTGACACGGCCATGTTTGCGATCAAGTAGTTCGTTGTGGTTCGCATGTGCCTGTTTTTTGCAATAATAGCGATAATCGCCGCGTTTCCAAGAAGAGAAAGCAACATCAACACAGTGTAACAAGTTGCTTTGATAGCCTTTGTAGAAATGGGATCTTCCTGGGTGAAAGGTATACATTCCTCTTCAGTTGAATTCAGCAGCGTTAAATTTGCTATCGATCCGGTCATCGTGCTTGCAGATCCAGACTTGCCTTGACCCTCGAAATTACAGCGTGAATTTCAAGAAAGTTTTTCCATGCCCGGTGTTTACACATGAAAATTAATGCTTGTGGGCGTGAGTTTCCGGTTCTATTTTTAGCTGACGCCTGAGATATGTACGTGTACCTGAAACTTTGTACCTGGCAATCTCGCTCTGGAGAGAAGCATTTGGCCGCATCAGTTATCAAGTCCAATGTAGAAATAGTGCTATTATTTCTTCATGCCTTCTTGAACGCTTTAAATTTGGGTAGTTGTGGTCTTGATCGATGATGTTTCTCAAAAAGTATACTTGTTTGTGTCAGACCATCAGTTATTTCGACCGCAATTAAAAACACATTGAAAATGGCGTTAATTCTCTTGGAGGCAGCTGAGTTAACATGTAGCTAGCAGATACACTTTCGCCGCACCTGCTTGAAAGCTTTACGTGTTCTTGCGATACAACTTGGATTAATTCTGAATATGTAAAATCAAAAATATCATACTGCTAAGTAGAATGCTAGCGCTAGGGGGATAACTTCAGCTCAGCAGACTCATCAAAAGATAGACATGTCGTAACAGACTTAGAGGGAGAAAAGGCAGGTTTTAGGAACAGGGCCAAGAATTAGAATATTAACAATTTATTTTTAAGCAGAATTATACGCCTGGTTTTTGGCCAGTTCTTATTTATGATTTCAAACATTCTGAGCATATATGAATTATTTCAAGCCCGAAACATGATATCAATTACTTGAATTTGGTTTGATCTGGAACCGTCAATCTGCAGCTCACTCATTCCAAAGACCTTTGATACCGGGATTGAATGGTAACCGTACATCTTAACACTAGCACAAACATCTAAATAAAACATTGCAAAAGTTTCATTCCTAGTCCATGCAGGTGGTTTCTGTTCCATTAAATTTAACATGAAAAGTTAATTCTATCAGTATTGTGACGGTTTTGGGGGCAAGGAACTAAGCATTGTGACGCGGTTCACTGGGCAAATTTCTAATCCCAAGGAGATAACTAGCTTCTGGCTTTTCTGAAAGATCCGTAACTTGCGTGATTGCAAGAAATCGTATTTTCGGGATGATCTGAAAAAATAAGACAACCAAGATGTATGCTGCGATTAGGAATAGAATAGCGACAGGCCACTTAAAAATTGGTTGCTTTCTCACATTAGTGACAAAAAAATTACTTTTCCTTACCATTTATTGGGTGTGGTTATCTTATCAGTTTTCATGGCATAATTGTGATAATTACCCCCTAAACGAATTTTCAGCGCACAAGCGTCCATTAGATTCATTAGGCAATTTTTCAAGTGTTTCAGAGCACGGAAGCTTATATAAAAGCGAAGCCATCAAACATCTTGAAAAATATTCACTTCTGAAAAAGTGCTGAGAACATTTACGACCTTGTACCAAATACACAGGACAGTTGTTTGGCCCGGATTACTTGAGTTTTTATTTATCATTATTTATCTTTTTTAAAAAAATAGAATTCAAACCAATTCCTTCCCTCCCCGGAGGATGAGGGGTCTAAGATGCAGAGATACCGAAAAGAAAAGACTGAGTATCTGAAGCTGTAAAACAATCCTTTAAAAATTATAATTTACTGGTTCACTTGCCGAATATTGAACGTCATTGAAACGTTGGGCATTTTTCCTCATCAGTTGTTTTTAATTTGTTATTTCGCCTGAAAGCACATGAAAGTATTAAAAACTAGTTAGCAAAAACCAAGTCAAATGATCCAAGTTTTCGGCTTAGAATTTACACTTCTAATTAGAAAGCCATTAGCGCCTTTGATGGTGTCCTCTGCCGCAGAGATATTTAGCTACTTAACCTAAGATTCGGTTCTAGCAAAATATCGGTGATATGATGATCTAAAAGCATTATCAGGCCACAATGATAAGTTTGTCTGCTAAAGAGGGCTCCCAGGTGGCTTCAACCATTCCCCTGTGGGGCTACTCCCTTATTTGGGCTATATAGGTATCTGCGGCCCCAAAGGGTATGGGATTTTAGCTGTTTTGGTCTGAAAAAGGGTATGTTTTTCACTATGGCTTGGAACTAATTTTTTCCGCAACACCATTAGCAAATTTGTAGCCATTCTCAAATATTTTCGCAAATGGAAGCCAGTTCTGTCTAGCTGCGGTCATATATTACAGTCGTGTAGTCATTTTAGAGGTCTGAAATGGAGTATCGATTTTAGCTCAGGTCTGAAATAGAGTATGCAAAGTCACAGATTTTGGTCTGAAATAGGGTAAGGTTTTCAAGGTTCCGGCCGCACACCCATACAGTAAAACTTTGGGGAGTACCACCGTACCCTCTTCCACCTTAGCAAAGGACACTGGGTAAAAACTACAACCAATATCGTTGAACAGCGGATTCTCTCATTTGAGCAGGAAAGCGCGCGAACGCCAAGATGGAGGGTTAGTTCGGATTTTGACAATATTCTATGATATTTTGTTGCTAAAGAGCTTCATTTTGACCATGAATTTCGTTTCTCTTTCAATGGGGTGATATTCTTGTTGCTCTCACTTTAGTTCCTCTGGTGGAACAGGCCTTAGCTCGTTACAAATGCGACTCCAACAGAGCTGTTCACTTCAAACTCGGTAAGCATACATGAAAGCTGACATGTCAAAATGCAGTGTCCATTCCCCATTTTCCATGAATATTGCACCAGTTTCACACATTTGAAGATTGTTTACATAACTGTTGAGCTGCTTTCAAGATCAACCGTGCGAAAAATAATCCTTGCGTTGATTTTAGAAAGGAATAATTGTACAGTTGTACAAAATGAAGCCTACGAAGGTACTTTTTGAAGGTTAGCTGCATAATCAATAATGATTAGGAGTGATCAACGTCTCATTTGCCTTAAAATAAATATGTAGTGGCGAGACCAAATATCAATGATTATGAATTTACTGGTTTGTTTTGTGTTCGTTGTTCCTTTTCAGTTAAATCTGAGAAGGATGTATTTGACAAGGATAAAGGATTCTACCCAGCATTTTCACATCAGTTCTTTGGAGACAAGTGAGTTGGTTGCATGCGAGATATTCCTTCTTTGAAATTAAGTAGTTTAGTGGTGGAGAAATTGCCAAGCATTAAAAAAAAAGAAAAAAAAAAGATAAACATTAATAACCATTTTTAACCTCTCATTCAAGCCATAATTTGCAAATTTGTACTCTTGGGCAAGCATTCATGTAGCACAACATTGTGGGTACTGGTGATCCGATAGACCATGCAGAAAAATGGTTGTGGGTAGAGGTGGGACGGATAACTTGATATTGGCTGGCAACCTTTCCAGGAACATGAGGGAGCTTAAGCAATGACGATGCAGGGTTGGACATCTGATCAACCGTATTAATAGCCACCAGGCTAGTGATTTCTGAAATTTATTAGCCCGAAACACAACTTTGTGGCCCAGGTCAGTGTCCCTCTCAGGCTTTATTTTAACCTCCCTTTTTGCACCTTTCAACATACATGAAAAGAAAGATCCTTGGGGTTTAATTTCATAACATGATACTGGAGCCACAAAAAACTTTCTTTCCACAATGGATTAAATGCTCTTTTCCTTTTATTGCTCTCATATTTCCTGCTTTTTTCCTGTTCTGTTTCACTGGTCTTTGCCTTTTTGCTTGGCGGTGCTACTTTATAATTTGACAGAAATCGCTCCATCTTCTCTACAATCGCTTGAAGCTGCGAGGCGATGTGCAAGGCGTTGCATGATGGGTAGGGAGAGAACCTGGGAGTACTTTAATTTTTCCAGTAAGCATAGGGTCTGGGTTCCAGTGATATTTATGATCGACACGCGAGACCAAGAAAGACGCCACAGAAGGGTACTTTTATACTTTCTTTGTTAATATTATCCTTACAATTTCACGTTTTTTGTTCTCTTTAACAATTATGAACTTAAAACAAATGAAATAAATATTAATTCTGTCAATGTTTCTACTAGCCCGCTGGCTATTGAACTTTACATTTTACTAGCCTGACCTCATTTTTACTAGCCTTGGGCTATCGAACCAGCAGAGATGTCAAACCGGAATCCAGAATTATTGAAATTGAGAATGACAACAAAAAATTCTCCTTAGAAATGCCCAATAAATAAGCATAGAAAAAAAAAGAAATGTTATTCTTGGTGTTAATTCTCATTGCTTTACTTCAAACACAAACTGTAACTGCTAAGTACTACAAAACATTTTGACAGGGCTGATGGAATATATATGGTTCTCTGAGATCCAACAGATTGGAAGGCAGCGGTTTTATTAAGGGCCGGGCATTAGGCAAATTGACCGGCTATGAGGATAATTTTGCCCACCTGTTTTGACCATCTAGTGGAATTTTCTTTTATATAAAGAAGTTTATTTCAAACAGTTTTGCTTGCCTGTGAAAAGCAGTTACCCTCTTGCTGAGAATTTTAATGAAACTCCAGGGAAAGGACTTAACCAAGTGCCAAAATGGGATATTAAGCTGCACACGGCCAAAATTTATTATTTTGTCTGACATTTGTACTTACTGGTATACAAGTAGGTTGTCAATTGTTTTGTGCTTTGAAAATTTTCAGCAAGATTGATGACCGAAATAAATAGCTTGGGCTTGTGTAAAAGAATTCATTAAAACTTTCATGATGATTTTTGTTGTAACATAAGCTCATCTGTCTATTGGCCTGCACTTATCTATGTTTTTTTCCCTTGTTTCTGATTTCTCCTTGCAGTGAAACAATTTTTGGTTACCATAACTTGGAAGTGCAGGTAGGGTCTCCCCCACAAAGCCCCCCTGCCTCCCCTTTTCCTCCAATCCCCATGCATTTTGTGAGGTCTCCATATTGTTTGCAAGGACGTACCTAGCAACGTTTTGGTTTTGGCTAATGTGCTATTTATTTTTAAAACCAAGAGTAAGGCTAGGTTTGTATTGGTAAAACATGAGCCATAGTGTGGTCTTGATAGTACAGACTGAGCACAGGGGGGTTTGTATAGAAAATATTACACGGCCAATATTTCCCCAGTATTGTCTCAAATAAGCTTGGGTTACAAGTTATTGGTTTAGTTATTGGTTCTCAGCTGTCTTAGTTATGCAATAAAAAGCTTTATTTTGTTTTGTTTCCAGTTGTATTACCATTCTGGTACTCTCCTAACATACATGGGCTTGAAGCATGATGGTGAGGTCAATAGCAAGATCGTAGAAGGAGTAGAGGTGAGAAAATCAAACTTGGCATAGTGTTTTTTTTGCGATTGAAAATGCAAAACTTTAACAAAGTAGGAATGAGAAATCAAGGAACATATGTCAAATTTGTTTGATTTAACCTCCTAGATACCAACAGTTGTACAAGATTTTTTTTTTTTAAATTACCTGTCAGTGACCAAACTTGACCAACAGAAAAACTGGTCTGTTAAAAATTGCTTTGGATTGTAAGATCTGACATTTCACCAGCCTGTGGTTTGGTGTGCTAAAGAAGAGAAATGATGATGTAGGCTGTTGTTGTTGACACCTTGTCTTTTTTGTGATTGTAGCCGGACCCTGTTCTGAGCACTATTGCAGAGAGATATCCAGCTGGTAAGATCAGAAACTTAAGAGTTAAAACTGCTGCGGAGACTAGCTAAGCTAAAGCATGATTATTTTAAATTCAGTTAGCCTGCAAATGTAGATGTATTTCCAGAGATAAGTGACAGCTGGAAATATGCCTGCGTTTGTAGGCTAAAATTTAGTTTGGCAAGTAGTAGGGACTAAATTTTTTGGATCATGTGTACTAAAGGCATCCGTGGTCAAGTGTCGATCAATAGCCCTGATCGATACTCGATTGACACTCCATCGACACCTTGGTTGACACTCGATCAACAAACCATTGACATCTCGGTTGACAGTTGACAGTTGACAGGTGAGAGTTGACTAATTTTCGATCGATTCATATGAGCCAATCAACACTTGGCCGACTATTGACTGACTTTTGATCAAGTGTCGATAGAGTGTCGACCGAGTGTCAATAGTGATGTCGATCAAGGGTATCAATTGACACTCGACCGCGGATACCTTTAGTGTACATGATCCAACAGTTTGACAAAAATGGCTATTTTACATGAAGGGAGTTGTCCCTTGTGACTTGCTGCAGGAACTAGTTGCAGGAATGTATCCCATTCTGTGTGTTTACCTTAAGAGTGACTTCAACCCGGGTTCTAACCTGCACCACTTGATCTGGAGTCCAACCTGCTAACCATTAGACCAGCAACCACACCCATATGTGGTTCATGCAGATTGTGTACTGTGTCTTTAGAGCTGGTCTACACAAGTGTGACTATTGCTTGTAACTCAGTGTACACCACAATCAACTTTCTTAAAGGCTGTTCAAACTGTATTCAAACAATGAACATTCATTTTTCTCTTAGACTGATAATTTAAAGGCTGCCTTTAGACTAAGACTCTGTAGGCTCTACTATCATCCCATTTATTCACCTGTCATCATTGTTTGGAATAGGATGTCTGACAAATTTAGATGAGTTTATTGCAAGACTTCCTGATGAAGGGAAATTCAGGCCAATGGGAGATTTGTTGCATTCGTACAAGAAAAATGATGTTGAATATGAAATCTACAAGGTAATACTATTATTGCTGCATACATTATAGGTAATAAAAGTAATTTAGTCATGTTCGGTTAAGGAACTGGTAATTCTTAGAAATGAAAATTACTTAAAGTCACACCCACAAAACAGGGGTTTCATCTGCTGAAGGGCAGCTGGTTTTCACAGGCGGGCAAAACGTTTTGAACTGAACTTCTTTTTAACAAAAATTTTCCTCTAGATGTCAAACCAGGCAGGCGAAATCATCCTCACAGCTGGTCATTTTACCCCCGTCAAAATGTGATGCTCTAATATGTATTTCATTTGGGGTTTTCACACGTGTCTCTTTTATATAAGTTTCCAACTTGGGGTTTACCTTCTGCTCTTTCAAATTAAAGGGCATAAGGATTTACTTTTTTGGGATTTAATTCCCTTGCTATGCACGTATCCATTCCTAAAAGGTCCCTCAAAGCTCACAGTTTTCCTTGAGCTCCACTCTCGCAAAACTGTTTTCTTTTAGGAACAGATAACTGAATGTTCAAAGAAAAATATCCGAGCATTATTCCCACACTTCATAGAGTATTTATTTATCATTGAATTTCTCAGGCTGATGTAACTACACCAAGACTCAAGGATTATCATGATAGACTGCAGCCATTTGTGCTGTGGTTCATTGATGGATCATCCTATATAGGTATGACATGATCAGTTATCTTTTTCATTTGTTGCTTGCTCATTCAGTTGTTTGCTTACTAGGTGCTCGGTCAGTTGTTCAGATTTTGGTCTTTCAGTCCTTGTGATGTCTTAGTTCAAGTGTCAATGATAAATAATTGTCCAATATCTGGTGTTCTTGCTTCTTCAGATTCTGACGATGAAAGATGGCGTTATTTCCTTTTGTAAGTACATGTATGTTATGCTGATTAGAGATTGTTTCTAACTGAAACACATAATTCAGTTTTGGTGTTCCACTACAACTTGATATAGTTTACAGTAGGCTTGATTTTCCAGCTGCTATTTGGGAAATGCAGAGGAAATCAAGCTTAAGTTNGCCAAAATGGGATATTAAGCTGCACACGGCCAAAATTTATTATTTTGTCTGACATTTGTACTTACTGGTATACAAGTAGGTTGTCAATTGTTTTGTGCTTTGAAAATTTTCAGCAAGATTGATGACCGAAATAAATAGCTTGGGCTTGTGTAAAAGAATTCATTAAAACTTTCATGATGATTTTTGTTGTAACATAAGCTCATCTGTCTATTGGCCTGCACTTATCTATGTTTTTTTCCCTTGTTTCTGATTTCTCCTTGCAGTGAAACAATTTTTGGTTACCATAACTTGGAAGTGCAGGTAGGGTCTCCCCCACAAAGCCCCCCTGCCTCCCCTTTTCCTCCAATCCCCATGCATTTTGTGAGGTCTCCATATTGTTTGCAAGGACGTACCTAGCAACGTTTTGGTTTTGGCTAATGTGCTATTTATTTTTAAAACCAAGAGTAAGGCTAGGTTTGTATTGGTAAAACATGAGCCATAGTGTGGTCTTGATAGTACAGACTGAGCACAGGGGGGTTTGTATAGAAAATATTACACGGCCAATATTTCCCCAGTATTGTCTCAAATAAGCTTGGGTTACAAGTTATTGGTTTAGTTATTGGTTCTCGGCTGTCTTAGTTATGCAATAAAAAGCTTTATTTTGTTTTGTTTCCAGTTGTATTACCATTCTGGTACTCTCCTAACATACATGGGCTTGAAGCACGATGGTGAGGTCAATAGCAAGATCGTAGAAGGAGTAGAGGTGAGAAAATCAAACTTGGCATAGTGTTTTTTTTGCGATTGAAAATGCAAAACTTTAACAAAGTAGGAATGAGAAATCAAGGAACATATGTCAAATTTGTTTGATTTAACCTCCTAGATACCAACAGTTGTACAAGATTTTTTTTTTTTAAATTACCTGTCAGTGACCAAACTTGACCAACAGAAAAACTGGTCTGTTAAAAATTGCTTTGGATTGTAAGATCTGACATTTCACCAGCCTGTGGTTTGGTGTGCTAAAGAAGAGAAATGATGATGTAGGCTGTTGTTGTTGACACCTTGTCTTTTTTGTGATTGTAGCCGGACCCTGTTCTGAGCACTATTGCAGAGAGATATCCAGCTGGTAAGATCAGAAACTTAAGAGTTAAAACTGCTGCGGAGACTAGCTAAGCTAAAGCATGATTATTTTAAATTCAGTTAGCCTGCAAATGTAGATGTATTTCCAGAGATAAGTGACAGCTGGAAATATGCCTGCGTTTGTAGGCTAAAATTTAGTTTGGCAAGTAGTAGGGACTAAATTTTTTGGATCATGTGTACTAAAGGCATCCGTGGTCAAGTGTCGATCAATAGCCCTGATCGATACTCGATTGACACTCCATCGACACCTTGGTTGACACTCGATCAACAAACCATTGACATCTCGGTTGACAGTTGACAGTTGACAGGTGAGAGTTGACTAATTTTCGATCGATTCATATGAGCCAATCAACACTTGGCCGACTATTGACTGACTTTTGATCAAGTGTCGATAGAGTGTCGACCGAGTGTCAATAGTGATGTCGATCAAGGGTATCAATTGACACTCGACCGCGGATACCTTTAGTGTACATGATCCAACAGTTTGACAAAAATGGCTATTTTACATGAAGGGAGTTGTCCCTTGTGACTTGCTGCAGGAACTAGTTGCAGGAATGTATCCCATTCTGTGTGTTTACCTTAAGAGTGACTTCAACCCGGGTTCTAACCTGCACCACTTGATCTGGAGTCCAACCTGCTAACCATTAGACCAGCAACCACACCCATATGTGGTTCATGCAGATTGTGTACTGTGTCTTTAGAGCTGGTCTACACAAGTGTGACTATTGCTTGTAACTCAGTGTACACCACAATCAACTTTCTTAAAGGCTGTTCAAACTGTATTCAAACAATGAACATTCATTTTTCTCTTAGACTGATAGTTTAAAGGCTGCCTTTAGACTAAGACTCTGTAGGCTCTACTATCATCCCATTTATTCACCTGTCATCATTGTTTGGAATAGGATGTCTGACAAATTTAGATGAGTTTATTGCAAGACTTCCTGATGAAGGGAAATTCAGGCCAATGGGAGATTTGTTGCATTCGTACAAGAAAAGTGATGTTGAATATGAAATCTACAAGGTAATACTATTATCGCTGCATACATTATAGGTAAAGTAATTTAGTCATGTTCGGTTAAGGAACTGGTAATTCTTAGAAATGAAAATTACTTTAAGTCACACCCACAAAACAGCGGTTTCATCTGCCGAAGGGCAGCTGGTTTTCACAGGTGGGCAAAACTTTTTGAACTGAACTTCTTTTTAACAAAAATTTTCCTCTAGATGTCAAACCAGGCAGGCGAAATCATCCTCACAGCTGGTCATTTTACCCCCGTCAAAATGTGATGCTCTANTTTATTGCAAGACTTCCTGATGAAGGGAAATTCAGGCCAATGGGAGATTTGTTGCATTCGTACAAGAAAAATGATGTTGAATATGAAATCTACAAGGTAATACTATTATTGCTGCATACATTATAGGTAATAAAAGTAATTTAGTCATGTTCGGTTAAGGAACTGGTAATTCTTAGAAATGAAAATTACTTAAAGTCACACCCACAAAACAGGGGTTTCATCTGCTGAAGGGCAGCTGGTTTTCACAGGCGGGCAAAACATTTTGAACTGAACTTCTTTTTAACAAAAATTTTCCTCTAGATGTCAAACCAGGCAGGCGAAATCATCCTCACAGCTGGTCATTTTACCCCCGTCAAAATGTGATGCTCTAATATGTATTTCATTTGGGGTTTTCACACGTGTCTCTTTTATATAAGTTTCCAACTTGGGGTTTACCTTCTGCTCTTTCAAATTAAAGGGCATAAGGATTTACTTTTTTGGGATTTAATTCCCTTGCTATGCACGTATCCATTCCTAAAAGGTCCCTCAAAGCTCACAGTTTTCCTTGAGCTCCACTCTCGCAAAACTGTTTTCTTTTAGGAACAGATAACTGAATGTTCAAAGAAAAATATCCGAGCATTATTCCCACACTTCATAGAGTATTTATTTATCATTGAATTTCTCAGGCTGATGTAACTACACCAAGACTCAAGGATTATCATGATAGACTGCAGCCATTTGTGCTGTGGTTCATTGATGGATCATCCTATATAGGTATGACATGATCAGTTATCTTTTTCATTTGTTGCTTGCTCATTCAGTTGTTTGCTTACTAGGTGCTCGGTCAGTTGTTCAGATTTTGGTCTTTCAGTCCTTGTGATGTCTTAGTTCAAGTGTCAATGATAAATAATTGTCCAATATCTGGTGTTCTTGCTTCTTCAGATTCTGACGATGAAAGATGGCGTTATTTCCTTTTGTAAGTACATGTATGTTATGCTGATTAGAGATTGTTTCTAACTGAAACACATAATTCAGTTTTGGTGTTCCACTACAACTTGATATAGTTTACAGTAGGCTTGATTTTCCAGCTGCTATTTGGGAAATGCAGAGGAAATCAAGCTTAAGTTAACAGGTACCTAAGACTTTACATCTGTACTCAACGTACTGGGAATTGTTTATAATACAAAGCTAGTGCCACCTTCATTTGCAGTAATTACTATGAGGTCTAAGGCTTTAGAACAAGAATTACACTGGTTGCCATACAAAAAATTCATTTCTTCATTCTAGATTTGAAAAGAGAAAGGAAGCAGGGGAAACATATTACAGTGTCGCAGGCTATGTGACTGTTTATCAGTATTATGCATACCCAGACAAGATAAGACCACGCATCAGGTTGGTATACTGGTCTTTCCCTCATTTTATGTTCATTACATCTCCCAGTGCCTTAGACTCTGGATCAACAGGTCTGGGTTCAAGCCCTTGCTGGGGTCGTTACATTAACTTGTGACTCTAACTCTCACGGTCATCATCACCATAAACTTTATTTACTCTTGAATTCACAGACTAGCATATTGATGCTATTCTGCTACTCTAAACTCCTTGCCTTAACAAATGTGTCTGTGTGTCTAGTTCCTATTGGAACTCATAATTATATTGATTTTTGTTTTGCAGTCAGATGTTGATTCTTCCTCCTTTTCAAAGACAAGGCCATGGAGGTTTGTACAGCTGTGTGTGTGTTCCTCAATAAAACAGGGCTTGCTATCTTCCTACATTGTAGCCTCCTCAATAATGTGAAAGATTTACTTTTGGAAAGAACACATAAGTTTACCACTGAATGAAATATGTAACATATGAATTTGTTGCCATTGCAACAGAATAATGATATTAAAACTATGTGGTAAAGGTTCTGACAAAACAAACATTTTTAGCAGTATATTAAAATAATGTTGATGGGGTCCCGTGGCACCTTAGTTTTATGAAAAAAAAAAAAAAAACTGAGGAGGAGTGACTTTGGTCAATGAAAAAAAAAAACAAATTGAAGCTTACTTGTCTTAAAAAGACTTTTAGAAATTTTCTTGTAGTCGCATATCAGCTGTGAGATCTTCCTAACTAGACTGCAGCAATTTTCTTTTTGTCCTATAACCTGCCGAGGAGCCTGTTCTTAGGTGGAAGAGTGGGCAAATTGAAGGAATCTTTGGAGCATGCCCAAACTACCTATGCTCAGGTTATGCCCAAACTTAGGCCTTATGCACCTACTGGTGTGCAGAGACTTGGTGATGATGATGTTGATGAATGCCCAAACTTCCTGCCAAAATGCACAGGATGGTACCAAGCATGTTTCTCTCTGTGCAGCAGTGCGTCATGTTTGTACATTAAAAATAGTTTACTTATTGTTTAGTTGAGATGCTGCAAACCGTTGATAGATTCTACATCAAAGATCCGCAAGTCTTGGACATTACAGGTAATTATTACAAACAGCTTAGTAGGAATGGGGAGGGGGGAGGGGAGGGAGGGGGGTACTATTTGGAAAAAAACCCTTCCTTGACAGAGGTGGGGTTATTTTCTGGAACTATACAATTGCACAAGCCTTTTGAAAAAAATTTTAAATATCACAAGTGGTGTAAGTCCATAATGGCTCGAGCTTTCATAGTATTCTTTGCTTTATTTATTTATTAAATATCTAAGAAAATTATGAACGCATGCGCGAATTTGCACTGCAGTCCAAATGATAAATTAACTATTTATTGGCTTGGTCTCAGTCAATCACAATGAAGTCATTTCCTCAGTCAAAAATAAATGTTGAAATGTAAAAATGATTTGCAAGGCAGTGTTAGTAATGTTTTGTCAAGCTGAAAGCTTAATAATTATTACAATAATTTGTATTTTACTTTTTTGTGTGTAGTTGAGGAACCTTCCTACGACTTTATCAGATTACGGGACTATGTAGATGCTTTGGACTGTAGCAAACTCTCAGCATTTGCACCAGACAATCTGTGCAATGGTTTCAGTGATAAAATGGTGCAACAGGCCCGTGAAGAGCTGAAGATCAACAAGGTAAGTAATAACATGGAAAGAGAAACCTTGGGTCCTGTGAGTAAGGTGGAGAAGGCTTTTAAATCTAAAATTAGAATTGCAACATCACTGGCTGTTTTTGTCTCAGATGCAGTTTGTTGAGATGTACTATTATTCTTCTAGGTAAATACCGCCATTATGTTTCTTTAGGTGCCAGTAGTTTTCATTTGACTGTCAAGCTTAACTTTGTACTTAGGAGAAGTGAACAATCTTCTAGCGCGAAGCACCAATTGAATCTGACTGAACTAGAGTTGTTTGGGTTGTTCGAAAGGTGGATTACACTATCCGCAGGATAAATCATTATTCACTGGATAGCAATTTTTCTGGTGGATAGTGTTATCCAGCCTTTGAACAACCAGGGTCAGCATAGTAACCATTAGGTCTCAGTTGTGTGTTGCAACGTTTGGTCTGTACACTATATCTTAGATCCTACCTGTAGTTTTTTGTGAAAAAAGAGCCATTCCTATGCAAAATTTTGGTAAAGATTAAAATTTCCTCACACTGATTCAGCAGGTATTTTGCAAGGTTCTTGCACCTGTTGATTGACCATCAACTTGTCTGTTTCTATCCCTCAGATTCAATGTCGGAGAGTATACGAAATTCTGCGACTTCGTGTCACAGATCTTAGTAATCCTGAGGAATACAAGTCTTACAGGCTTGAAGTAAAGAAGAGGCTCAATATTCCTTTTCAGGTATTAATGAAAAGAAGTTATTGAATAGGAACTCACACTTTCTGAGATAAAATTGTCATAGCATACAATTATCGCATTTTTGCTTTTGTGCTCAGCTAATCCCAAAAGTTGGAGGAGGTTACATGTATATCCGGGGCAAGTCCCATCTCGCAGTCAATCATGAAATAGCCATTTTCGTTCGTTCTTCTCACGAATTTTCTACATTAAGTCATAAAAATTTCAAAAGATGTTTCGTAGCATTCTAAACCAAAAATTCATGATCCTTCTCAACAATTCGAGATAGCGAATTGTTGCCTACTAGCTATAATGTAGTTGGAAACAACAGGTGCTGCAAATTATTGTGACTTTTCATCACAATTTCACTTCCATTGGAAATCTGATATTTTTCCAGCAAAATATGTTTGCATCACTTTTAAATAAAAAAATTTCTTTTTTCAGAAAGAGAAAGCTGATCTAGAAAAGTTAAAACTCATTTTAAAGCCAGAAGAAATGAGTGCCACAGTAAACTTGCAGACTCCACATGAACGAATGCAGCACCTTGAGCAGGTCTACCAAGAACTGGAGACACATTACAAGAAGACAATTGAGAGAATTGCTGCTACTTAACAAGCTCAATCCATTTACTGTTTAAATGAAATGACTGGGCTAAGACAGAAGGCTCTGTAATACATCATTATAGTTGCTTCATAGCATTCTTCCAACAAAAATTAACATGCAACCAGACTTTGTTTGATAGTTTTAGCTCCATGTTCTGGTGAAACAACAATTTCATATTTTTTTAGTGAGTTCTGATAATGGTGCCACTTGTAACCAAAAGGCAGCTGGAATCATCATTTCAGCCAAAAAATCTGAAAATTTCAGCAATTTTCTGCAAATGATATATGAAATGTTTGACTGCATTTCCAAACATGAAGAAGAGAGTTGAAAATGCTCTGCCTAGCAGTGTTCTTTTTTCATGAAGAACTTTGTATCTTCTCAATTAAAACTATAACTAAGGAGAAAACGAAGAACTAAATCATAAAAAAAGAATAAAATTAGCACAGTTGGAGATCTGATCTTGAAAGATCACATCTCCAAACACCATCATGTTTTGATTTCCTTTGTTTAAACTTGATGAATCGTTGGTGTATATTTTGAGAAAATCTGTTCTGAAATAAATTATTATGGACTACTTCCAGAGGTGCTCCTCTCTTTCTGATCATAATGGAATGTCATAAATTTCCTTATCATTTGCTAATTTTTCCAGTCTCTCATGAATGGAAAACAACAACTGGAAATTATTAATGGTAAGTGCTATTTGGTTTGGATTTGCTTTCTTGGGTTTGTTATTGATGGAGAACACATTACCATTGTTCAAGTCTTCCCAACTGGTTCTTTCCAAAAAGTGGCCAGTACCCATTATTTTGATGAAAAATCAAAACTAAAGTTTCAAGCATTTGAGCTCTCAAAAATACAGAACATGTACCATACCCTAACCTAAGAGTAACGTATCAGTTGTTATAATCAAAGTTAGCAGCTATTTTTGCAATGATTCTTTTGCTCAAGTAGGTGTCAGTTGGGTTAATGGTTATTAGAAGTGTATAACAGACCAAGACAGTGGAGTCGCAAGTAGGGTTTGCATGATATACTCCAAGAGAGCATCGTAAAGTGGCTTAAGTTATGCTACTTTAGCCTTTGAACATGCTTTGAAGATGTAAACTCAGGTGCAGATCGTGTAATCATACCCTGTTTAGGACATGCCAGTAAAGCTGCATACCCTGTTCAGGACAGTGAGGCCAAAAAACCACACCCGGTCCAGCGGCACTTCCCCTTGTAGGCCAAATGAGGGAGTACCCCCCCTGGGTGCAAGATAGAGTGAGTCTCCAGTATTCCAGTTATTTGTAGCAGCTTTCATATATGGCAGTTTCACTGGTGCGATGGCAAATAAATGGGTAGTGAATCATCTGAATTCACGTAGCATACTGGACAGGTGAAGGACAGAGGGTGTGGTGACTCCCTTCTTTTCTCAATTTGCTAATGGCTTTGCTTAATGTTGTTAGGTTCAATGCTGGGTTTGATGCTATTACTTGCCAACACCCCAGAAAACTAGATAAGCAGGTTATCAAACAAGCACAAGCTTTCTGTCATCTTTTTCTGTTACAGTGTACGAAACTTATTTGCCTGCATAGCAGACGTTTCCTTACCATTTTCCAGGTAGGGAGATCAAGCAAGCGGAGTGGGAGGGGGTGGGAGAAAAGGAATTCAGTTTTTGCCCCTCTCCCTGCTTCTTATTCTTTTGCATTTGCTTGCAGTTCCATTCCCTTCGTGTGCTTTGCAAATAATGAACGCCTGCCACACAGGCTATACATGTATTAAAATATTACAGATGTTTTGGTAGTCCAAACCAATTTATTTACAAATAATATTATTTAGTATAACATAGTACACTTTAACAATATTGTTGACATATTATCAGTAGAACATTGATTAAATGCAGCTGGTTGACACTTTAAAGTAGCAATACACTAGCAAGAAATACATTTTTGTTAACTAGAAACAATGTTGGCTACAGCACTAGTGAGAATGCTATCAAGTTCAGCACATTTTACTGAAAACTGTAGAGCAGAAGCCAAAGACCTTTTTAGCTTTGGCGGTGTGTTTCCCACGTGATATTCTCTAGAGCATTCTTTTATCCATCTAAAAATTATTCATTCATAAATACACATGTGACTATTTGAAAATTTAAAAGCAAGAATTCTCACAAGTATCACCACATGGTCTGAAATGAGGCGACAAACTGCCCAAGCTAAAAAGGTTCATTACAATCTTCAATTTATGGACTGATGAAAATGTGAGTTGCAATGAAATTCTTCATTACATAATCAATTCCAGCACCGTTATACATCTTCAGATTCCAGCCGTTCCGGCAAATTACAAACTTGGGCATTCTTTTGTCTAGTGAAAATGACAATGGCCAATACTACCAGACAAACTCAAGGTTTTCTGTCGTCTCTTCCACTGGTCACCAGACTATGCTAAAAAAATTGTGGCCTGCTGTCATGTCGCACAGTAACGACTAGGCCCAACATCAAACCACTTGACATCTACCAGATTAGAGATAAACCAGATACATGAAACACCCGAGTGTCATTTTAGAGAAGATTAGGTTTTCCAAAATGATATTAGAGTATTGTTATCTTGGTCTCTGTTGGTTGTTTTCTATCTCGTTCTGAATGTTCTTGACAAAGTTTCTTGTGAAGGAGACAAGTCTTTTTGAAACTTGAGGATTTTTTTGAATGCTTTCCTGTGCCTCATTTGATTTGACTGCTTTATCCAGGGCATCATTCCCTAAGAGAAGTAATTTGAAGGCAAATCAAAGACTGTTAAAAATCATGTTTGTTTAGTCAGTTATACAATGTGATTTTTTCTGTTTGAAGTTCATTGAGGTCAGCAATCAGAAACCGCTACTTTAATTTGAGGGAAGACAAATACCCAGGAATTAAGTAACTTACCCCACAAGGTTAAGCGCCTGTACGTGTAATGAGTCAGCTGTGCAAGACGACGTATGGGATACGTATTTGCAAGCTGCCGACAAAAAGAATTTTAATTAAAAATTAAATGAGCTTGGAAAAGATGAAGACAATCATAACCAACTGTGTGAGAATGAGCTCCTGCTATGTTCAATACCCTCCCCCAGTGGGTGGGGGGAGGCATGGGAATGGGAGCCCAGCAAAATAGGGGGTGGGAGGGTTATGGGAAGCAGCAGGGGAAAGAACAAGAAGCAGGAGTTCTAAGAGAGGAGGATGGGAGAGAAATGCAAAATTTGTGCTTGGGCTAAAAAAAAAAACTGGGATTACTTCCAGTGAAATTTACAGTGGCTATGTCAGGTCATGAAATGTAAAGCAGCATGACTGCACATGTGGTGCATACGCTGTCAAAAAAAGTAAGCAAAATGAGCAAGGCTGAATACAACTTGTCTAAAAACAAAGGAAACGTCTTAGAATTAAGTGGCCGAATGACTAGGATGTGTTTTGAGTCTCCTAATTTACAGGGGATGGGAACAGGACAGAAAAGGGCAGGAGTTGGGAGAGCAGGATATGTGAAGTGGGAAGTTTTGACCCCTCTGACTCCCCTGTCCCCTCACCCCCAAGCCCTCAGGAGTTTGAAGGAATGATGATGGTTCCCATTTTTCTATCATTCAACAGGAGACCATGGGGTAATCAGAAACAGTTAAGTTCAAGTAACACTGATATACTCAATGTGTTATATAGTAGATACACATGCAACCACTAAATTAAATAAAGTTAATTAAAATACTGAGCACTTGAGTTTAGATAGCAGGATTGCTACCTGAATTGTCACAATGTACACAAACTTCAAATTTACAAGTGATAATTTATGCAACATATTTTATGCAAACTTACTCTTTCAACAACTTGTTCATTGGCCAGAAAGCTAGTACAAAAACGGAGAAATCTTTATTACTGAGATGCAGAAGTAAACAGACCTCACACACTCAACCGTTCTCCCACTTGACTAGTCTGAGATTCAGTTCCCCAAAAATTAACATCAAATGTGAAATGGCATTTGAAACAGTGTCAAAGGGTGATTAAATGAAGAAAGAATTACAGGTACGTGATGTGTGTCAAAATTCTGACAGTGATATGAGGAACTTCTGAAAGTGGTTTGAAATTTAGCCGTGGTGGGGGG